TATTCGTTTTGCCTCGAAAGCCTATCCTTTGAGCGCACACTGCTTTGCACCTTGTGCGCCTGTGGTGGCACACCGAGTATCGAAAGGGCTCTGGTGTGAATGAACCATCCATATCATGACGCGGCTGCCATGGCATGCAAAAGGGGCAGCACACATGGCCATCACGTTGTACGTGATGGGACGGCCGCGGCAACCGCGCCTGCGAGCGCAGCAATTGGTTAACCCAGTGACAACGTTCGTGCACTGGATGCACCACGCGACCCGCGGTGATCTTGTCGTTTCTATTCATCTTGACGTCATACGGGGGCATGCACCCACTTGGTCGTTTGGGCGGATATCTGACATGATAGCTGAAAACGTTGAAAACGTCGCTTATCCCTGGCGAGTGCAAGGGGGAGCGAGGACTCATTTGTCAAGCAGGCAATGCCTGTCAAGGTACAAGTTCCGTGTGATGCCATGTGCGCCGCGTCGTTGACAGAACGCGCATGAAGCCACGGCCATCACCTGTCCAGACGAACGTTTGTTGGTTGTAGCGTCGCGTGAGGTCGTCACTGTACGTCGTGTTTCAACTACGTTCGTTCGAAGAACGGCCAAACCAATGGATACGTGCAGGTTAACGACTTGTCCTTGACTACTAATTCGGGATCGCATCGAGAACGTGTGGGGTGGCGCTGCTCAAGTAACGCTACCAGGGACGAGACTCGTTTGCCTAGCCACTTGGTGCAGCACCACCTTCGCATTCGGTGTTCACACCTGGCCATTGCGCTGACATCTAACATGTAGGGGTTGCATGGATTTTGTAGGGGGGCTCTTGGCCATAGCTGTGTCCGTGTGTCGCTGCATGCGGTACGAGTTACTGCCAATGCCGTTGATATGTCCAAATGAATTTGTACCCTGTGTTCATGCGTAGCGTTGACAAGAGCGACGTCCCCACAGTTGTTACGAGCATGTGACCAAGCAAGATGCAATGGATCAGAGTGGGCCAAAATTCCCCCCTTGCGCGTGGATGCGTTTTCCGCCTTCAAGGAGTTCCAGTTTGGCGTGGTCGCAGCCTCGATTTCCGTGTCAAGCTCTTGAGGTGTTGTCCATCCACTCGAATGCACAAGTAAGCATAACGAAGGAGGTCCGTGGTCTTTCACCTCACTGGAAGCCACTGCACCCCTTGGCACCACCATCCTCGGCATGATCTACTTGGCGTTCATGTTGAGTGCAATCATGGGCCCACTCGTGCCAAGTATGCTCGTATTTGGTCGACCGTCTATGATGGATGCCCGCAACGTGTAGACTACTTGGCACGAAGAAGAGTATGTTTGGCGGTTCGATTGCCTAGTACGTGTCCTCGGATCATGCAGCCATGTGAAGCTCTCTCCTTGGCGTCACCATCCCCGCTCCTTTATTATGCGGTAGTGGTCTCTTTGCCGGTGCAAACCTCGTGATATCTTTGACACCATCAAATACGTCGTTGCACTAGGGCTCGGAATGCCCGTGGCGCTCCTTCTGGGCACATCCGCGTCCGTGCTGTGGATTGCACAAGTCGACAACTCTTCTCAGCCCTGAACGTTGACGCGACTTACATCTCTACTGGTGTAGTCCGCCTATTTGACCCACCTGAGCGTTCACTACGCCTCCCTGTAAAACCAACCGATTGTGAGTTCGATGGGTCATTTCAACGGGATCTTCTTTGCCATCTACAAGTCGAGCCGAGTCACGGGCAACATTATTTCGTCCCTCGTGCTAGACTACTTTGCTTGGTACAACATGCACATGACCTTGGCGAAAGCAGGTGCGGCTAAAACGATGCACAGGACGTCGACGACGATGATCAGCATATTCACGTGCATCGGGCTCTGCGGCACCATCCTGCTGTGCATGCTACCGACCATTGCCTCACCGACTCAAGACGATGATTGCGAGCCCTCCACTCGCATGCTCACAGCGCTCAAGGTATTAGCCCTGGACAAGTACGGCGCGGCTTCCTGGGCATAACGTGACGAACGCCGCTGTAGACGCATGATGGCCCTGGCGCCCGTCTTTTTCTTAAACGGCTTACAGCAAGGCTACGCAACGTCCGAGTTCACGTCCAACTTCGTTCGTCTGTCCTTGGGTAGCACCTCCATCGGCTACGTTACGGCAGTGTTCGGAGTGGTCAACGTTGCGGGATCGTATGCGATTGGCAAGCTGGCAGACAGGTGCCTGGTTTCACTTTTCTCCATCTGCCGCACGTAAATACATCGTTATTGCAGCGCAGATTTGACCCCGTCATAGGCCACGCAGTTGGCTACGGCGTACTGATCGTCTCGTACGGCTTGAGCTACGGCTTCGACGTTGTCCAGTGCGACAAGCAATGGGCGTTGGTTGTGGTCCTTGCCGTCTTGCTTAGCATCGGCGACGCATGTAGGCACAATCGCGCCCCTCCCTTGCAAACAGAACTTGATATGTGTGTGCATCCATAGGCTCCACTACGCTGACCAAAGGTTTGCCTCGATGGAATGTCCAAAGTATGACCGCGAAGGTGCTGGGCCAAGCATTGAATTCGGTGAAGGCGTTTTCCGTCTTTACGATTTACCAGTCGGGGACTGTGAGCGCGTCGTTCTTTCTGCTCAAGTATATGCGGTAATCCGTCCACGGCTTCGGACGACCGAGAAACGGGCCACCCACTCGACACTTTCGTTGATAGCTTCCACGCGCGATTGGTTTTGCTCCTAACGGCGACGTGTTGTGGCCGCTGCGGCGTACGGGATCTACACGAGGCGCTACCGCCGCATCGTGATGGGCCATAGACGACGTGCACCGCTAAAGTAATTCCGTCGTGCATCCAAGATCGTTACTCTGATGATCGTTGCGGCTCACTTAGTCTTGTTGCAAAGTGTTGAACAGTTCACATGGAAATCCATTCGACAACAGCATGAGCATTGGGTAATGCTCACGCGTGTGGTCTACCGACGCATGCCTCGGTCAATGTGCTGGACATTTCCTGGCAGTGCGACAAGTGTGCAGAAATGTCGATGGAATCTGCCAGGCTGGCAACGTGAGCAAAGACAAAGTTGAGGTTTCGTGCGTTCAGGTTTGCGTGGCGCCGTATGACGAATGTAAATGTACTCCTGGACCGGTTGCCCATGGCGCGCCGTGCGAACTCTTGCCTCTCGACAACGCATTGTACAAATGCGGGCAGCACCATCATGAGTGTATCTCTGTCTCATGCTCCGTGTTTCTCCGCAGTGCTCAAAACAAAAAACCATTCCTTTCTCCCTGCGTACCTACAAGGCTCGCATGTTTGCAGGTTACTCTAGCGACAAGGACATATTTGGTGGATCCATCTCCTAGTACGCCCGCGTGCATTCCGCAATGGCTTATCGTCGATGGACACTATCTAGATTGCGTTTGAAAATCTAGCGGTGGCGCTCAACTAAGCCGTCGTTGCATTGGTGGGTCCAGATCCCCTCAGCTTTGTTTCTGGGGGTGCCCGAAGTGAGCTCGACGGGGTCGTTCAACAAACCGTTCGACGCGATGTACACAAAAATTCGTATCGCAGGCAATGTGAACTCGTCGTTGCCAGTCTCTTGGCTGTCAACACTGCTCCACCGCACGTGGTGATGGCGAAACTACCCGACGTCGTCGTTTGATCCCAGTACGAATTCGCTGGCAACGAGGCCCCGGGGCTGCTCAAGAAGGAAGCGTTTTCGGCAGCTGCGACACTCTCGGTTTTGCAGGACTTTGCCAAGGACACGTACCGCGACATCCTTCATCCCCTTATCTCTCAGGTCGAAACACGGTCACACATGGTGATTCGCAATCCCCGTTTGCGTTGAGCGGTGTTTCGGTTCGTCGCGGGGGAATACAGAGCCCCCCATTCCCCGCCAGGCGCTTGGAGGCGTGACCATCGGCGACGCCATGGCAAGGATGGACGTCGTGTGTAACAATTGCGCAGGCTGGGGCCTAAGCAGATATGAATTGTTGGGGGGGTTGGCACAAACATGCATGTTAGAACTAACATGCAAGTGTCAAGGTGCCGAATGAAGGGCTGAGATCGTTTCGGAAGTGGGCCCTGTCCACGTGTGCTTGGAGACGCAGTGGGCCAGGACATTACATCGTGTGTTCGTTCTGGTAAAGCATGTCCAAGGACAGTTGCAATCAAAGAGTAAGCGCTGTCGTTGACACGGCGAAGAGTCATTATGTCCAACGATTCGGTGTTGTCTTGCACTTCCCCGCGACTTGGCTTTGCATGCGAAGCCACGAAACGCAACGCGTCGGCCCTCGTCGTTGTAAATATTGCTGTCTTGCCAAGTGCCGGCGGCGCTAGTACGTCGTCCTTTCCTCCCCGTTCATGCATGAGACGTCCTCGCTACACTCGCTCTGAACGCTCGGCGACTCTTGTCGACGGTTTGGCCTCAACGCCACCGTGCCTGGCTTTGGCACGATGTAAACTCACACTCGTTATCATCGACAAAACGTTTCCTTCCAACGCCGTGCCTGCGTTCTCGCTCGTTCGCATGTTCGGTCGGGCACGACCCGTTCACGTTACCACCACGCACATGTCACGCACGGCGCGATCTGAATTGGCCTTGATATGAACTTGGTGGCAAAGCTGAAAGGACGCCTGTGCGTGCTCCTCGCCAACGTTTTGTTGACCGTCGTTCGCAACCCTCTCGCTACGCCATACGCCATTGCCAAGTTGCCAGAGGGCTCGGCCGTGAACCCCATTGCAAGAGAGAGCATTCGTTCATCGACGCGATTGTACAGCATCTCCACGTTGTGGGGACATCGTCGAGACGCTACTCTCGCGGCGCCATTCAAAAAGGTTGGAGGAAAGCCAACAGCGAGATGGTGCCACACTGGCAACGAGGCACGTTTCAAGTCAAGGGGCTTTGTGCAGTTTGAAGTTGCATGTGAGCACTTCAAAGATGATGGGCACGTTGCACTTTGATGCGGCCAGGTCGGCCAGGATGTCCGCTGCTTGCTGCGATCGAGCGCAGTGCGATGGAATCGGCCCCACAATTGAATTTGCCGACTCCCAGCCATGCGTCTGACGTACTACCTCGCCATCGTTGCTCTCGAGTGCGCTGCCAGTGCAAGTCCCGCGCTGCGTCTGTCAGGTTCAGGCTCCCCGTCGACGAAGCCGGCCCCTCTCGTCACGACGGAAGCAACCAGTGGAGACACCGCCGTCGCTTCTTTCTGTGGCTCCTACGGCTGCTCAGGTAGTGGTGGTAGTAACTGCGGCTATCTTGGCTGCGGGAGATGGGTGTGGTGGTAGCTGCGGCTACGACGTAGCCCATCGATGCGACTTCCGTTTTGTGTGGAAGGTTTGCCGCGAGAATTGAGCACGATGCACCCCTTAATGAAGCACTCTTCAACGTTGATTTGGCTTGTAGTCATCGCGACGAAAGGTTGGATGGAAGGGCGAAAAGATCATCTAGTTTGCTCACCAAAAAGTTGCGTGCATGCAGTGGTCGGCGATGTGAGTTTAGTCGCAGTCTCGTCATGATGTATGTCATGATGTATGAGCTTCGCGGGTCTTGGAATGCGACGGGATCCTGTCTAGCGACGCTACATGCACCTATCGCTGCTATCGCCACAACGATGGCAATGGGATGGTATCACGAAGAGTGAACAATAGCGATGTAGTCAACGTTTTCGTTGGGGTCAATGCGGCTGGCGTCGACGTGCTTACTATGAATTGGGCGGCCAAGTTCCTCGTGATTCTCGCGGCAGCAGGAAAACCCGTGGGCATGTCGCCGCTGTGGATACACCACATCGTAGTTTGGGAACTTGGAGGAGGTGGACTGGATTGGTATTGAAACGCATGCAGGCGAGGAATCGCAGGTAAAGGGGGTTCTTTTTAGCACGTCGGGCGAGTAAGTTACCGCCGAGTTGGTCCAAGTGCACTCTGTCTGCGTTCTCTGTCTTTGAGAGTTGTCGCGCATGGCCAGTGATGGTGTAATCGTCTTGGAATGTGCGAGCTCTAGCACTTGGAATCCAAGTTGGAGGCACACGATCTAATGTCATGGAACTGCGAAACCATTGTGGTTATGTCGGCACTGCACGGCGGTGTCGCGGAAATGGCTTTCGTCGTGACCATGTGCTTGCCGAACAGCGCGATTTGAAATGTAGAAAATGAATGACAACATGTTGAAATCTCCGGGTACAGCTTTGTCAGCGAAAGGTGTAGCAAGTGTCGAGCCGCACGACGTGAAGTCGTTTGTTGGGCCACATACCGAAGTGAGATAGCTCAGGTCCACCTCTTTCTTGCTCATGGGCGATTTTGCAGGCCAGGGGGTTTTCTGTGCGTACGGCAATCAGGCACAGAGTTGACGACAATTCGCAGATTGCTTTGGCACGATGTCGCTTGGGAAAATTTGTTGATTTTGTTCAATGTGACGCCCATCACGTTGTCCACGTGGGCAAGGGTCACGACCACTTGCCATGGCCGACGCCGCCGCTTGTGCCTCGCCGCAGTCGATCGCCTTTGAACCGGCCTCGGAGGGTTCAAACTCGAGTCGGCATGCACATGGCAGGGAGAAGAAGTTTCGGTGGAATGACGTGATCAATTGTTTCGTGTGGTGCAACAACCAGTCGCCGTAGCGGATGCATTCTACTATCATGCTTTTCTCCATCGCCGTCGTGAAGGCAGCAGTCAGAGCTGGGTGGCTTTCGCAGGAGGCCCTTAGACAATCGCATTGGGCATGGGCAGAAGCACCAAGGGCGAACGCACCCGCATTGTTGTCGACGGAAGTGTTGCTAATAACGAGGGGCGGCATATCTTGACTTCCTACTTTTGGGCATCTATGTAGTGGTTGGTACTTGGCGATGGAGATCAAGAGAACGAGATGGTTTGTTCGCCTTTCCATCCAACCTTTCGTCGCGATGACTACAAGCCAAATCAACGTTGAAGAGTGCTTCATTAAGGGGTGCATCGTGCTCAATTCTCGCGGCAAACCTTCCACACAAAACGGAAGTCGCATCGATGGGCTACGTCGTAGCCGCAGCTACCACCACACCCATCTCCCGCAGCCAAGATAGCCGCAGTTACTACCACCACTACCTGAGCAGCCGTAGGAGCCACAGAAAGAAGTGACGGCGGTGTCTCCACTGGTTGCTTCCGTCGTGACGAGAGGGGCCGGCTTTGTCGACGGGGAGCCTGAACCTGACAGACGCAGCGCGGGACTTGCACTGGCAGCGCACTCGAGAGCAATGATGGCGAGGCAGTACGTCAGACGCATGACTGGGAGTCGGCAAATTCAATTGTGGGGCCGATTCCTTCGCACTGCGCTCGATCGCAACAAGCAGCGGATATCCTGGCCGACCTGGCCGCATCAAAGTGCAACATGCCCATCATCTTTGAAGTGCTCACATGCCACTTCAAACTGCACAAAGCCACTTGCCTTCAATGCCAACGTACTCCCAACTGCTCCACAACTTACTACAACAGGGACACTCGTCCGCCGAGAATTCCCTTGTGCATCCACTGTTCATGACGATATAACTCCGCACGGCGGCGCGCTTGCTCGAGTACGATGGACACAGGGGTCGGTACAGACTTCATGGCGTGAGCCAAAGCACGCACGTCTGCTCACCATACTCTCTAACTGGGCCATCCATTCCTAAAATGGACGCGACACTTTCCACAGGCGGCATGCAGAGGACCACGGACATGACCACTGTCGTAGTGTTGACATGGCGCCTCGTCGATATGCATCCCAACTTGAATCGCCGCGGACTTCTAGCTGTGAGGATGCATTCATCTCATCGTTAAAACCTTGTCGCATTGAATGGCCTCCACGCGTAGTCGTACGTTGCGGAGGCGACTATGTCGTGTAGTTGTGGCTAATTACTCTGATAAGAGCAGGATCTTACAAGACGAGAATTGTGCACCGTTCGCTCGGATCTCGCACACACTTTCGTACAGACGTCGCCAAGTCCGTAACGATAGACTGCTGTGCTTGGGGCATCACGAAGTGGAGCGGGCATGGCCATCGAGTGACCGTGGCCTTAACTTCTTGCGATATTCGAGAGCAACGTCGAAGTTCAAAGTGGCCACCTGCTCAAGATCTGCCGTTGCCCAATCAACCGTCGAGTTTCCGTGACGTCGGACTCGACGAACTTCGGTCGAATTTGCTTGTGAGTCCTGAGGTGATTGACTTCTGGCGCTGCGCGATGCTGGACGCCGCGGCCTGCTTCCGCTCTGGCGTCGTCCTTTCGCTCAGCTTCCTCCTCATCTTTTCCGCGTACAGTGCGACGGAGGTAACCCCGCCTCCCATCCTCTTCACGTCCTCACAATGCGAGTTAGGTCTTGGAGACATCGATCATTCCGAGCCATTGCTCGGGCTGTGTTGAAGGACCCGCGAATGGCACTTGCCAATCTGGCTTCGTGTGCCAGCACAAGGCGCAATTCGCGTGCGACGTCGCGTGCGAGGCACCATATCGTGAATGCAAATGTAAGGTGGTCACGTGCACGCATGAAAATTGCTTGTAATGTGTAGCATCGCTCGGCGACGTTGTGATGGGCACCATGTACTTAATGTTCATGACGAGCGCGATGGCCGGGCCGTTTCTTCCGCGTACGGCGCCACCACGGCAGTCAAGATCGTCATGCATGTGGCTAAGTACAATGGATCGATAGACTACCTTGGCGAAAAGAAGAGCATGGTCGGCAGCTCGACCATCTAGTACGTGTCGAACAACGACCCGTCGCAACCTCTAACAGTGGCTTGCTCTCGAAGCGGCGTCTTCGCGCTGGCGAACCTCGTTGTGGCTTCAAATCCCACAAACGTTGTGCTCCAATGGGCCGTCATGATACCGACGGCATGCGTCGTGGGCATTGCCGCCTCATTTCTGTGGATATCACAGGTAGAACGCACACTGCCTTGGCAAAGCTGACCGCTACAGTGTGTAGGCCAGCTATCTGACTCGTCTGAGCGTGCAGTATTCGCAGTTCAAAGGCATTCCAGCGATCGCGTCGGTCGGGCTCTTCAGTGGCATGTTCAATGCGTTCTTTAAGCTCGCGACCATCGTCGGCAACACCATCTCTTCAATCGTTCTCAATGTGTTTGGGTGGTGCGTGAGACCCTGATCGATCCAATGCACATGAAAATCGTCCAGGTCGACAGTACCGTTATTTTGGATCTACACGTTGGTTTCCGCTGCAGGCACTGCGCTGCTCTGTCTTGTGCCGGACTTGCCCATTCCACACGCCGCACCGCTTCCAACGGAATCCACCAAGCTTTTGGTTCCGGAATCTCCCGTGACGTCCATCCAATCTCTAGCGGCGCTGGCTGTCGACAAGTTCGTTTCATTGACCCGGTGTTTCTCTGAGTTTTGGGCGTTAGGCGCATGCTTGCGCTGGCCCCCATCATGATCCTCAACGGGTTTCAACAAGGCTTCCTCTCTGGCGAGTTCACGGCCAACGTCGTCCGTGATTCCCTCGGCAGTTCGGCCATTGGTACGGTGTTTGTCGTGGTTGGGCTCGTCTCCGTCGCGTCGTCGATTGTCATGGGAAAACTGGCCGACAAGTACCAACACGATCTGCTGCATGCCTCGACACTTGCATCCTAACTGGGCCGCAATGTCCAGGTGCAGCCCACTTCCTGGCCAACTCGTGAGCTTTGTCGTTCTCTTGGCGGCCTACATCATGTGCTTTGTGGTCACCGTCTCCAAATGCGACGAACAGTGGCACGTCGTTCTGACCATCGGCGTCCTTCTCAGCATTGGCGATGCCTGTACGTCCCCTTGGACCTTTCTACTTCGTCACCATCTCACACGATGCGCTCCACCGCCATGAATAGCGTCGCTGACGTTAGTGAACGGTCCGTCTTTGCAATCTTTTTGTGTTGTCCATTGTGCATTCCGCTCATCTGTTGCGTCGTTCCCAACCACACGTTTGACAGTTGGTCGCTAGTGGTGCTGGGCCAAGAATTTCCTGACGATCCTGTGAACGCGTTCTCTCTCTTTCGCGTGTACCATGCCGGCGCGACGAGCATCAGCTTCTTCCTCTTTCCCAGTCTCACGTACGTTGCGTTGTTTGTGCAATCGAAGCGTGTGAGTGATTTTGCAGGTTCCACGGCCGCCTCGCGCTGCTGATGGCGCTCATCGTTGTCTCCGCCGTGGCGTATATCGTGTATTACATGCGATTCCGCTTCGTCCGCTAGCCTGACGGGGAAGTGTACCGAGTAAAGGCCACGAACGTCGGGTCTTCTAACGGATGGACTGGCACGCGAGTGAACCCGTCGAATGTGTCTTTGTCGAGACGCATTTCCGATAGGCCTTGGTGCTGGATTTGCACGTAGAATGGCAAATAACTATGAACATGAGGATCATACTCCCTGCGCAGTGACTGGCTGGGGTGTCTGTCGTACATGAGCTGTAGCGTTGGCACATCTCGAAAAGCAAACTCCGACACAACCGGCATCGGATTCAAGTCGAGCTTGCTACACACGTGTTCGCGTGAACACAACGACTTGCGGGGCGGTGACGTACATTTCACGGAGCTGGAACAGCGGCACGGGCACGTCATTCCATTCGTCTCGGTCATTCTTGGTGTAACCGCGAAACATGTCGGGTGTGACGACGGCAAAGTTGTTTCCATTGAGGAACCTACGTCACGAGCGAGGAGACTAAACGTCGGCAGTGATCGATGCCCCTTGGCGTCGAAGAGGGAAATTAGCGTACAAATGAGTGGTTCGGTGCGGAATGAACTGCGGGATGTACTACAAGGCGAACGTTACCTCGACAAACAAGATGGCAGTGCAGGGGAATTCTGTCGCACCGACAAGTTGCGGAACTCGCAATGCACGGTCACGCGCGTGGAGCCAAAACAGAAACACTCGGATGGACATGCGACAACGCTTCGAAGTGCGCATGCAAACGCTAGGAAGACCGCCGCAGGACGCCGCCATGCCATCGCGCCACTCGGGCGAAGCGACACGGAAATCGCTTTCTGCAATAGGTGGATTTCAACCAATCAACGATCAAGGAGTTGTTTGCGCGAAAACGTGAAATATTGTGTATAACGGATGAAAATTTAGTCATTTTTCATGTTCTGTATCGTTTCTATCAACTAGAATTGGAGTCTTGCAAATTTCATTCTATTTTACTATTAATAGCATTTGAATAATTTCTTGATAATTGTTGATATATACTTTTCTATTTTTCTATATTTTCTTGATATTTAAAAAGACGAATAAACTTTTTGAAGGTATGTTTAAAGATAACACTTTTTCTTTTTGTTTTACAAATATGCAACTGAAAAACCACCCCATAACCATTCTACAATAAGTATCAATAACTAATGTAATTGTAAAACTGCAGTTCAAAAAATGCAGAATATACAGTATTTTTTAGAATACTGTATCGTATAGCAGAAGTAAGTGCAAACTTCGAGCAAGGCATGGCACCAACCGGGGACGTCACGTTCTGGGAAACCATCGACCACTTGGGCGGGGTGTGGACGCTTCTCGGCGCGGTCGTGGCGCTGGGCATGTTCTACGTGGCGTTGGTGGAGTACATGATTCCCCGCGGACGGATATCACAGGCCGCACGTGCCAAAACCCTGCGTGACAAGTGCGTACCGACGTTGTCACCACGCAACCTAGCATTTTCATCTCACCGTGCTGCATGTGATAGATACATCCGTGGAGTACGCGCCAAGTCACAACGCTTGACCGACTAAGTTTGTCTGATTAAATAGAGGCTCTGTGAGCGCACGTCGTCCACGCCTTTCTATCGCGGTGGCGGGACTGCGCCTTGTCTGTCGTGGGAACGTTTCCTTGCCCCACTCGAGCTCTTTCGTACCATCGATCCCCTCGCCAGGGCTTGAATTATCGTTGCCGCCTCTAGCGCTTCGTCCACCGCGACGTCCAACTTAGCTTTGGTCGACGTGCGACGCTTGGGTGGCTTAGATTGGGGCGCGTACATGCTGAGCTCTGAGTTTTCCATTCGAGGTAAAATCGGGGCCGACTTCATTGAACGGGTGTACATTGGTAGCCGTCTCTCATTTCGCTCTTGGATCACGAGCACCTGCGCCCTCGGCAATGACGACACCACACTTTCGCTGCAGCAGGGCTAATCGTCAAGGCGCTGACTTGCCAGCAAACGTATTCGTACCGTTGAGCTCGATGCCGCGATTCTGCTGCATGGACATCCGCTAACATCGACGCCGCCACGGCTGTGTCATCTACTCAGTGCAGCAGAAAGATTTGGTTTTCATTGGATGAATCTAGCAAAACCATGATTTACCAGGAAGCTTGGGTGGTCCCATGAGGCGGCTGCTTTTCTGCCGCTGCCGTGTTTGGTTGCCCCTTGTCAATGCTTGCAGCTTCGTTGCCGCAGCGTCTCGATGCAAATGCGTTGTGTTGATGTTTAATGGCAGCTTCAACGACGGCCGCGGCTCCACCGTCATCAACCCCGCGTCCACCTTGACAGTCATACCCGATGAGTGCAGCCCCGATAGACTTGTGCCTCACCAAAACAAGACTATGTCGATGAATGAGGGACTTGCGCTCGTCCAAATGCCCTCCTGCGATTTTCTAGGTGCCATGTCACCACGACTGAATGTGCGTGTGTTGGAGATAGCACCTGGAGCTGCACCATGGTACGGCCTTGTCGAGCTCGGTCCATTGATTTACGACTTGATCGGCCCCTCACGAGACGCTGAATCGTCGTTGCAGCGTCGCCCTTGATATCGCGACTGGTATCCTCTGCGCTTTGTGCTGCAAGCTTGTCCAGACGAAGGAGAGCCACTCGCTCTCGTGCCAAGATGCCACTAAAAATGAGTAGGCAACGAGCGACGATGAGAACGCGAGGCTTAGGAAGGTGTGCGGACCGAACGAGCGACTGAATTTTAATCGCAGACGCCTCGCACAGCAGAGACACCCTCGCAGCCACTCGTTTTCGAACCATGTATCCCCGGTACGATGCCTAGTAAGATCACAGGAGGGGAGGTCGACACGACTGCCTCGGCAACATCCCACCTGCACAACTATCACCGACCACCGCACCAGCTCGTCGATGTGGCGAGATGTCAGATGGATAAACGCGACACGGGCGAGGAACCGCTTGACGCAAGCCTGCTCGACAAATGCACAAGAAGTTGATCAGAAGACCAACACAACTCGCGAGTGCGGGGGTGTTTGTACTTGAATGACGGTGGCAGCGTGATGCAGCCTGTCGCGGCGGTGCTTGGCCTCCCTTTTGCCTGGATTCGATCATTTCAGAGATACCCATGTGCGTCGGCCACAGAGACTGTACCATGAGCACGGAAGCCAACGTCTTGGCGCCATGGATCGGTGGTTTTGGTGTCGACTACGTGACTTGGCAGGGTGTGGTTCATGTCATGGAGCTAAAGGAGTTTTTGCAATGACGCCTGCGACGAACGGACGAATGTTGATCGCACCTCTTTACGAATGGCCGCGGGCAAGTTGGCGCGGCGGTTGTCGTAGATTGTGGTGGCATGGGGTCGCGCACGGAACCCTCGAAAGTGCGCTTGGATTTTCGTCGCGGCCCAGTTCTCTAGAGTCGTGCGCGCCGATCGCTCCGCGTGCAGTTTCTTCATGAATGCGTCTCTTTCAGCATGTAAGATCTTGTTCATTCGTTTTCGGGGAATTGGGAGCGTTAGCGGCGCGGCTGGTAGAGAAAGTTTCATGAAGCCGCTTGCCGTCGGTCGTGGGAGAAGAGTTTGCGGCAACGGCCGTTTCATCGTGGTGACCGTGATGGCGAGGACGTCTGCAGACGTGAGATGAGTCTGCGACAAGTACGTCACATGGGTTTCCTCAAGCCCGGTAAAGCATGGCACGATGATGCTGGCGTCGACCACCTCGTCCATGCTCGTCAGCCGATCGGTCGTCGGCGCGAAAAAGTCGTAACCGGCGGTTTGGCAAGGATCCCATTTGAACCAATAAGATCGCGAGTTTCGGGAAAAGGCACACCCGACGATGACCGACGCCGCGCGGGACGCCTGGCTCCGCCACCAAGCGGAGAAGATTCAGAATAGCGTAGTGAATGTTCATGAAGCGTTGTCATCGAGCCCGTCCATCTACTTCGGAACGCGACGATGTACCTACAGCGACGTTGTGTCCATTGTGACGACGACAAGACTTTGTTCGAAAGCCACCAAAGGCACCGACTCGCCACTGCACAAGACAAAAGTAGAGCCGTATGCACATGTCGACAACTTTCTCGATCCTCTCTTTGTCTCGCCGCTGCAGAATGCGCATGAACGACTCCACGACCAGCTAGAGGTACCACTGGATGATGCAATGCACGGCACAACGTGAATATCTTTGTAGCGGCACAAGAAGGCTCTTGTGTCGGAGAAAGAAACGTTCATGGCCAATCTTCAGGACAAGCGACTCGATCGCTATCGCGTACGTTCGCCGTAGCTCGTGCCAACGGTGTTCTAACCATGGCGAGGCGATGGGGTTGCAGGTGGAGTTCCAAGCAGCCAGCATCGTCCAGCGAACGTATCGTGGCCACTCGCTGCGAAAAAACTTTGGAAACGTCAAAAAGGTTTTGCTCATTCGCAACAAAGTGCGCGCTGCCATGAAAGACGTTGCAACGGGAACGGGCCTCATCCTGGAAGAAAAGGATCGGCACCGTGCCAAACTCCGCGAACAAACGACGGCAGCGATTGTGCTCCAGCGCCGCTTCCGACGACTTCTGGCGACCATCGTTGTAGCCAAAGAGAGGCAAATGGTTGCCGAAGAACGACAACACACAAGCGCAAGAACGATCCAAGCCATGGTGCGGCGAAAACTCGCCATGTCGTTTGCGCGGAAGATTCGCATCCGCCTCGTCGAATCGCTTGCAATGCACTTGGCGCTGCAAGTTCAACGATTGTACCGTGGACACGTTGGTCGCGGTGTTGCGCGGAGTCGCCGCCTCGCTGTCCAGCACGTTGCGGTGCGGCTTATTCAAAACGCCTTCACACGCAGTTTGGCGGCAAAGGCCTGGCTCGCCGAATCCGAGCGATCTCGAGACACCAGACGAGACCGTGCGGCCACGATTGTTCAGCGCTGTTTCCGAGGGTTCTTGGGGCGGCAGCGGGTGCATCGCATCCGGGAAGTGGAAGCCCACCAAATTGCCTTGGCAGCCGCACTGTCGATCCAACGCGTGTTCCGTGGCCGCCTTGGACGCTTCATCAGCACAAGTCGCGCGTGGTGGCGCCGTGACGAGGTCACGTTCATGTCATCGATAGAGATCACCCGCCTCGTTCGCGGGTTTCTTGGACGATGCCACGCCAGGCAGATGCGCCTCGAGCAAGACACTAACGTGTTTGTGCACGCACGGAAAGGGCGAAAGGAATTGGTGGTCGACTTGTTGGACGGATATGGCCTGGACGCGCCTTTGGACCCCAATGGTGTCGATGGACATGGTGCAGTAGCTTGTGACCATCCATTTGCCTCATGTGTTGCGATTCGTAGGGAACACGGTCCTTGCGGTCGCGAGTCGATGGGGTCACCTCGGCATTGTCCGGTCTGTCATTGGGCGCGTCAAATTGAATGTGGAAAACCATCACGGATACACGGCCATCATGCTCGCAGTCAAGTACGGCCATGCTGACGTGGCCGAGTACCTCCTCACGAAAGCGCCGACTCTTGCGACGACTGGTCGATCCTTGCTCCACGAAGCCGCCCGGAACGGAATGGCGTCAACGGTCGAAAAGTTGATCCTGTACGGCATGGCGGTCAACCATCAGGACGCAGACTTTCGACGTACGCCGCTGCACGAGGCCATCCTTAGCGGCCATGCTCCGACTATCCAGTTGCTCATTGACCAAAGTCCCAAAGCCTCGGTGCGCTATCTTGACACGTTTTTGATGTGGTGATGGCGTGGATATGCTTGAGTAGTTGAATTACCAAGACGCTCGGGGGGCAACGGCGTTGCATTATGCTGCAAAGAAGGGCGACCGCAGCGCCGTGCGTAGTTTGTTACACGCCGACGCAGATGTGGCGGTCCTGGACAAGAAGAATCAGACCGCGTGGCGCGTCGCGATGGCCCACGGGCACGAAAACATTGCTGGGGACATCCGCAAGAAGTGGGGCCTCATGGATCAGAACGAAGACGCTGTTGCAATGGACGGCGGCGACGACAACGACGAGACAGGACCAGTCTTGACGGTCGACGATTCGCTCAACACGATCGAGCGGCTCCTGGAACAAGGCGAGATGGAGATCGACGATCGAGACGGCGATGGCTACACATTGCTCATGAAAGGCGCCATGCGGGGCTTCTACACCATCGTGCGGTTCTGCCTTCGCCATGGTGCCGCCATCGACCTCGTCGACCGCACTGGCAAGACGGCGCTGATGCACGCCGTTGCCCACAGCGACATTGCACTGCACTTAATTGATCAAGGCGCGAATTTACTTCACACAGACGAGCGGTACGTGTTCATCATGTCGGCAAACATTGACGTCAGTGTCGTGTTTCCAGCGGCCGGACAGTCATTCACGACGCAGCCATGCACGGCTACACGTTCAGCGAGTACATCGCTGTTCACCGAGTGCACTTGGACATCAAGGATCATTTAGGGTACATTTCCCTCGTCCAAGCGTGTGGGCTTTTCATGACAGACATAGATGCACCCCTCTCCACGACGCAGCGAAGGTCGGCAGCGACGTCGGGGCGAAAAAACTGCTAAACCTTGGCGCGCACGTGAGTTGTGTGGATCTAGACCACCGAAGCCCCATACATTATGCTGTCCGGGGGTCGTTCTCACCGGCGACGCTGTGTGTTCTCCTCCACGCCGAGGCGCCGGCGTTGTTTCTTCGAGATAAACTTGGCCGCACGGCGCTATTCGACGCCGTGATTGCCGGCAACGTGCCGTGTTTGTCGATGCTGAAAGCGAATGGAGGAAGCCTGGCGGACAAAGATCACGACGACCTGTCCCTTCTTCATGTTGCCGTTCTCGCCCAGCAAAATGCATCGATCGAGTTCCTCGTAAACCACATGAAACCAGCTGAACTCCTGGCGACCAACAAGGCACTCGATACGGCGCTGCATGTGGCCTGCCGAACGGGCTACTGCTATGGCGTTGAGCAGCTGCTGAAAAGTGCCGGACCAGTGCTCGTGTCAAAGGTTGGAGCACAATGCCTCGATGGAACCAGGCAACTAACGCATGAACAGGTCAACACCCAAGGCGACACGCCCGTGCACACTGCCATCAAGTCTTCCAACGTCGGCGTGCTTGAAGTATTCCTCCAACTTGGTTATGAGCTGACCATGGTCGAGAAAGAAACGGGGGCGACCCTGCTGCACCTGGCAGCTGAAATTGACACCGAATCGCTTGACCCAAGGATATTCCCCACGTTGATGCGCGCGGGGGTGTCTGTGACAGCATACGACAAAAAGGGATGGCAACCATTGCACATTGCGTCCGCGCGTGCCAAAGGTACCTGAAGAAGCCCTTGCCATGACGAATCACAGTACGGCTGTGGCACAGGGGCGGGGGCCGTGCGGGCATTGCTGGCGAACGGCGCGCCAGTGAATGCGCCTTCGAAGGTCACCAACATGACGCCGTACCATTGTGCAGCCCAGATGGGTAAGGCCCCATGTCTTGACCGGCATAACGTGTAGGATGTGGTGATGCTATGCCGTTGTGATTTGTAGGAATTGCGGAGAATGTCCAGCTGCTCAAAGAGTGTGGAGGCCGATAGGAACGCATCTACGTCACGACTAATTTAAGGTATAGACTACCACTTGGACCATCAAGGGTGCTGTCCTTGTGCTTCCTTTTCGTGGAGCCGCCGTCTGCCTTGTTCACGCTCTCCTCCATGATCTCTCGAAAACATTGCGACCTTTCCCAATCGCTGGCACCGCTGCAGGCGACATTACTACTAACGTTACGCAAAACCGGTTCTGATCCTTCACCAACCGAACGTACTTTGCGTTATAGTGAATGTAAGGTAATTTTTGTCGGACTGCCGAGATCATAGGCCGCGATGAAATGACACCATGACATATCCACGACTACATAGTATACGAAGACTGAGATAAACTGTAGTATTTTATGAAAGGACATGACGCAAATGGTCGTTGGCAAACTCTCATGTGACAACAATGGCTGGACCTATCGTGGCGAAATAATGCAGTAACTTGGAGGTCGGTACAAACTTGCGGCACGGACTGCAGTGTCATGGGGTGCAGCAACAGCAAGGAGGCGCCTCGTGTAATCCACGATGCGCAGCGACCGCTCACGGCCAACGAGTACTACCCCGCACCCCCGTCAGGCAATACCCCGGTGCAACCGAGCGCCAGCAGACTTGGTTTGAATACGGGTAGCATGCCAGCGACGACACCCGTCGGAGGCGGGCGCTCGGCACAGACATCGAATGCGTCTGAGATCGACCTGGCATACGCGCCGCTGCAGCAGCTGAAGAAGTTTTGGATTGACCCAGACGATTGCGGTAGTTCCCGTGCGCTCAAGTCGTCGTACATGATGACCCATGTTGGGTACTATCAAGGACATCCGACCGTCATTAAGTCGTTTGCTGGGTTCGACAAACGCACTGCAAGTGTCGTGGAGAAAGAGCGCTGTAAGTCCGTTGGCCAAGGATTCAAGCGATGCTGCACATTCCTCATCCATTGTGCTGTGTAGCCGACCTCATCAAAGAGATTCGGGCGCTATCCAAGCTGTCCCATCCCAACATCGTCGCGTTCTTGGGATTCACGTACACAACCGTCGACGATCTCAAGTGCGTGACCGAGTTTATGGACGGTGGAAACCTTCGTACGCTCTTGAACAACCCCAAGCGAGAACTCAGCTGGCGACGCGAGAAGCTCTCGATCGCGCTGGACGTGGCGTCGGCATTGCAGTACCTCCACAGCCTCAAGCCAAAAGTGATGCACCGCAACATCAAGGCAGAAAAAGTGCTCTTGACGGCGTCGCTCTCGGCCAAACTGTCTGGGTACGTCTGCAGCTCCGACGCTCCAACGGCTTGGGTAAACCAACGCAACAGCCTCCCTCAGTCCCTGGCGCATCGTAGGTTTGGATCGGCGCGAGAATGGAGCTACACGCAAACGATGACCCGCAAGGTCGGGTCCGTCGAATGGTCCGCGCCCGAGCTCCTTCTCAACGAAGACTACAACGAAAAGATTGACATTTATGCGTTCGGGGTACGACCTGCCCCCACTCACCTTGAAGCAATTGCCAACCACCGCGACGTCGATCTAGATGCTGCTCATCGAACTGGACACACGTGAGCTCCCGTATGCGAATATCGCACGCGATACGTCCAATGCGCTCGTCACCAACATCATCACCGGCGTCGTCCGGCCCACGGTCAGCCCAACATGTCCCAAGTCCATCAGCAAACTCGTCCGAGCCTGCCTTCAGCTCGACTCATCGTTGAGACCGTCGGCTGACGTTATAGTGCAGATCCTCCGGGAAGAGCAGGCACGTGCCGCTGAAGCTGTGGTTGAGAAGCTTCAGATCAAGCAGACATCGGGATCTCGCAGTGCCGTGCCGACCGTCGTGCCACCGTCCATAGTTTCAACTGGTTTTGACGTGCCGCATCCAGACTTTCAGCATCTCGCCCCACTGCGCAACCAATATTGGATCGACGCACGCGACTGTGTCGTATCTCGACAGATCTCGTCGTCGTGCATGAGCACACTGCTCGGCCACTTCAAGGGCGACGCGGTCGTCGTCAAAATGCTCAACCTGACGCGCCCGATCGACTGCGTCGACCAGGACCGCAAGTACCTCGTCCGCGAGATCGTGATGATGGCCAAACTGGCCCACCCCAACATCGTGACCTTCCGCGGATTTACGTTCACGACCCAGGACGACCTCAAGTGCGTGACCGAGTTCATGGCTGGAGGAACCGTTCGAGCCCTCTTGGACAAGAAAAAGCGCGCGCTATCGTGGGATAGCGAGAAGCTGCGGCTTGCGCTGGACGTCGCGATGGGCCTCGCGTATTTGCACGGACAAACACCGACCTTGATGCATCGGAACATTAAGGCGAGCAAAGTGCTGCTCACGCCTGGCCTGGGTTCGTGATCGCCATTCTTTAATCGGTCATGGAGCTTACATTCACTGTACAAATAGGTGCTAAGCTCTCAGGCTTTGGGTTTGCCAGGGTATGGACGTCGCAGGAAACGATGACCGCGGCTGTCGGCACTATGGAGTGGGCCGCACCGGAACTACTGCGCAATGAAGACTACAGCACCCCCGCCGATGTGTTTTCATTTGGAGTATGGACTCCTCAACTACCTTGGCCTCTACCCCCTCACGATCATATTAGGTCTTTTTGACGGAGCTGGACACGCGCATGATCCCGTACACCGACGTCCGTGACAAAAGATCCAAGTCGCTCACGGACGATTCGCTCATGATGCAAATTGTGATGGGCCAACTGCGTCCGAGCGTGTCGCCGTCGTGCCCTCGGCCGATTCAAAAGCTAATCCAGTCCTGCCTGCAAGTGAATGCCGCCCACCGCCCAGCCATGGCCGACGTCGTCGCGATCCTTAACCAGGAAAAACTGATGGCAATGGGCCTTTAACTGGACTCCAGCCCTTCAAACATGAGGTTCAAGTGCAAGTTCAACTTGGCCAAGGACGTGCCACGTGGAGTGCACATTGCCCTGCTTCGGTCCCACGCGAAACCCCCGTCCCAACCATATAGAACGTTTTCTGATTGGTCAAAAGTATGATATCCTGCCTATGGATTGGCTGAAAATGCAATGACGTCGACACCGAGATTCATCCGGATATGATGTCGCCAATGCGCATCGTATTAATATCAACTAGCCATTTGTATGTATTTGAATAGAAATGCCGTGGGCGCAAAAACCACGGCGCAAGGAACGTCCGTATCCGGATCGCTTGCATCTTGAACTTGCAATCCAAACGTCAACGACGGTCATCTTGGAGAACGAACTGACCAACCATGATGCATACTCGACGCCTCCTCGGCGCCGTGGCCGGCGTGGCTAGCGCAGGTGTAGTATCCACATGGCTTTACCACCCAGATGATGCTGCTGATCCTCTGCAAAGCCCAAACGGTCGGCCATCAGCACGTTCCCGTTCCTTCGATGAAACCAAAGGGTCGGCTTCATCATCCGCGGCTTCGTCACCGATTCTCACGCCACGGTACTACGCCGTCGAGCAAAGCCCATTTCGAGACCTTGGCGACCTCTTGGCATCCGCGACCGTGTCTGCCTCGCAAGCGTACATGAGCTGGCTGGCGACCAGTGGCATGGACAATTCAACGACCACCCGCCATTCTGACGACCCCTTTCGACTTGTCGACCCATCCACACCGTTAACGTCCAAAGACGCGAAGCGAGTGATTGACAGCAGCCAATTCAGCATTCTTCTCAACGCGATCGCAGGCGACACCCGCGACCAGTGTCCCGACGCATCGTACAAAGCAATTAACCAACTGGCGACAAATATGGAATGCGCTGCCGCCATTGCCGAGCGCGCGACACGATACGGCAAGAAGGCACTGCTGCATTTGGCGAAGCGACACAATGTAGATCCGCGGCTTGGTGATGCGCTTCGCGCCCTCACTGTCCTCGACGGGGTCGAGTGCCGGTTTGGTCCTGCCAACCTGAACTCCCTCGTCGCACTAGTATGTACACCAAACTTGCCAGCTCCGTTCGCCGAGTTTGCCTGGTGGGCGCTCGCAGCCACGGCCAGCAACAAGGCCCTGACCCCGCGATACCGGTGGCGAAAGGAATGGCTTGGCGACGACCGCGTCGCTCGGACTCGGTCCATCCTCATGCGCAACTCATACGTGTGGTCAGCCATCCTCGCGGCTCGTGACGATAGCAGCAACTCGTCGATGGTGCAGGTTCGACACGCGATGTTCATTTCACACTTCAATGACCTGGACGTGTTAGTTGCACGCTGCACGACTGGTCAAAGAGATGTGTGCGAGTGGGCTGCCGATCGAAGACGACGACCGCCTGGACTTGATCTTGCATTGGCTATCATCGGAAAACGTGCCTCTGTGTGCGGAAGCGCTTCAGACAGTCACGAGCCTTGCTGCCCACGAATCGGTTCGAGTGAAGCTTGCGGCCCGCGGGGCATTGGATATCTTGCACCAGAAGATCGAAGCCAACACGTCCGACGCACGGCTTACGGCGCTTCTGCTCGGCGCGGTGCATGCGCTAGCGTTCCATCACGCAACGTCGCTGGATGACCATGCGCTGTCGTCCGTGGACAACGCGACGCCAAACGTCGACCACGACGAGTATGTGGACGTGTTTGACTTTGACGAACCAACGGTCGTCCGCGGCTGGATCGACTTGTTTACATCCTATGCAACGCACGATGACGCCGACATCGCGGCGAATGCGGTGGCGTGCCTCGACGCGATCTCGTCCCATGGAACATATCGCAACCAAGGGTACGAGCATGTGTTTCTGTTGTTGTAAAACGTGTGAATGCTGATGGCGCGATCTTTTGTGTGCAGGATGCAGGAATGGGTCATCGCCGTTCTCGATTCGGTGCTGGAGAACGTCCCGTTGGATGTGCAGCGCCAGGCGACGACTGTCCGCGCTGCTCGAAGTCGCACCCGCCCACTCAAATCGGAGAAACAAAACTCCCCGACGCAGTATGTCCTCGCCCACACCCGCGCCTTGCGTGCGCTTGCATTTGTGCTGGATCGCCCCGATTGCCAAGCAGCGTTTGTCCGAGCCGGCGGTCTTCCGCTCCTCCGGTCGATGCTCAAATCGATCGAGGCGTCAACAGAAGTCGATGCTGTCGCTGTCACGGGACTTCAACAAGAATGGTCGCGCGTCGTGGCCAATATGCTCTCCGCGCCTTCCCCTCTCGTCCTCGAGGAATTGCGCCATCCAGCTTGGACGTCCCGCCTCCAGCACTTGGCATACACGTCTGCAAACGTTCAAGTGCAGACGCATGCTGCACGCGCCCTGCATAACCTACACACCGCTTCCCAGGCACACGATGCGCTGACATCTGCGGCGTCGCACGACGTCGACGACATGCCAGTGCCTAAAGCCTCCGATGGAGCGATTTACATGGAGGGAGTCCATCCGTTCACCCTGCCAAAGTCTGACCAGCCTTCGACCAATGACTATGACGTAGACGTGGTGTTTGTGCATGGGCTCTTGGGCTGTGCCTTTGAAACATGGGCGGGTGGCGCCCAGGACGGGACGGCGGCTGATGTCGTGTGGGCGCACGAGTGGCTCGTGGCGGATCTCCAGCACCAGCACGTCAACCCCCGCGTCGTGTCACTCGGCTACGATTCCAAGCTATTTGCCGCCGAGTCGTCGTTCGAAACGCTGTGCTTTGACGATACGTCCAAGGATCTTCTGACCAAGCTGCAAAAGGCCAAGATCGGTGTCGACCGCCCTGTCGTATTTGTCACGCACAGCATGGGCGGACTCGTTGTCAAGAAGATGCTCCACGACGCTGCCACGTCATCGCTGGCGCAACACACGAAAGGGCTTGTGTTTTATGGTGTGCCCCACCATGGGTCCCCCGTCGCGGCGGCGATCTTCCCGATTTCGTCAGCTGTCCAGCGCCAGGGCATCGCGTTCCAGCACCCGGTCACGTCGGAATTGCATGGCACGCCGCGGCTGGAAGCGCTGAACGAGTGGTGTGCCGGTTTTGTCAAAGAACACGATGTCCGCGTGCTCAGCGTCGGCGAGAGCGCCCCGATGCGGCTCCCGCTGGTAGGCGTCGAAGCGCTCGTGGTTCCGGAAGCATCGAGCAATCCGGGGTTTGGAACGTACATCAAGTTGCCCAACCTCGACCACACCCAGGTGTGCAAACCCGTCTCGACCGAGGACCTGCGCTACACACTGGCGCGAGACTTGATCGTGGACGCCGTGGCCAAATCGATTGCGGATGAGAACACGATGACGGAGATTGATTAAATAAACTACGATGACCGAATTATTGCGACGGGGATGAAGGAGATGATGGTCGAGGCGGGTTCGACCGTGGAGATGAGTTCCACCAGAGGAAGGCAGAAAGCGGTACCCATGCAGGCGCCGTGACCACCGAAAACACCACGAGGACAGGGCTGCACAACGCGAGCACCAATACGACAGGGGCGCCAATGCAAGTCGCGACACTGAGAAGCGCGAGACGGACGAGGGGACTCGGTGGTGGCTACAAGAGTTTCAGAAAGGAGCAGCGCAGTCAACGTACCAGTGTGGTCCATTTCGACGGCAACGACGACGGAGGGGGATGCGATGGATCAGTGGCGGACGCCTGTGTTTGAGAAGGCGATGGCACTCCATTCACCTGACTTTGATGCAGACGTTGCTTGAGGGAATTCAGATTGCAATGAGGGGTGTTGTACGGCGTGAGCATGCACGGTGTCAACGGGTACTACGGGTTCATCGACATTAGCGATTCGAAAGAGCCATGCACTGCCGTCGTTATCAGTCGACGTTACCGTGGACGTGTACGCCTTGGACTTCGATGCCGCCATAACGCCGTCCCATTCTTCCAGTGGTACTTGCATTCGCTCCTCACCTGTGGTCATGCTGCGTCGAAGCTCCTCGGCCATGTCCCCGCCGAACCAACGACAGAATCTTCAAGGGCAGTTTACACAACATCCGGATACCCAACAGCCACGTTTGTCTATTCGGATCCGCATATTGGAAGAAGTGTATCCGGAATTCACAACGCCTTGAACTCGCACGAAACATGGAGGACGCGAGTGCAGCCGTTGACGAGTACGGGCTCCGTGGGATCGCGACGTTGCCTCTGATGGAACAGGTGCATCGCTTGCTCCATGCGATATCTATGAAATACCCATACAAAGAGGTTGGTGACGGTGACGCGACCAACGTGTAACATGTCTTTCTTGCGCAGACTGCTGCCTGGAAAACGCTTCCCTTGGATGCCAAACGTCAGATTCTGCTATACATCAAAGCCAACAAACCAAAGACTGGTGAACACACACCTTCGTTATCATTTGCACCACCGCCAAGTGATACGCAAGATGACGACTACGACAACGAAGGCTTACTCACGACGGACGACAAGGGTGGAGTGGAGCCACCACCCACCACGTCCAGCGTGGATGACGATGGCAATCCTCAGCTTGCAACGGCGAAGTCAACAGAAAAAGCACCTGTAGCTGCGTCCGACCCGTACTTGGCTGCCCTTCGAACGGAGCACAGCCAACCAGTCGGGCCGCCGAAATACCAAATGACGTGGAAGGTCAAACACATTCCAAAATCAGTCTCGTTCAAATGCAGTTGTGGGGCCGTCCATCGCACCGAGACGGGAAATGCTGTTTTGGACGAGGTCCGGGTCATGATGACAACATTTGGCGATGTCGATACACCTTGTAATGCTACCGCGGCAGTCGTTCAAGCCATCGGTACATCCAGTCGTGCGTGATGCACTCGTCAATTCACGCAATGCGACTCCATAGTTCAAAAACAAGTGAAATCGGCGCTCCTGAAGTCGTCGTTGAAGCAGTACTCGCTCTTGGTACGTTTGCACGCGCCGTCGCAGCATACGTGGCTCACCTGACGCAGGATTTCACGAAGCTCTTCCACGATGAAGCCATGTACTACGCCCGGTGGAAAGAGTTCAAGTCAAACACAAAAGACGACGAAGACGACGGCGGGCCTGACGACGTCGAACTCTCGGACGACCTTGTCGACGAGCTGGACATGTTTGCATCGTACGAGAGCATGGAGCTGAATGCGTTCCAGCAGTACTTTTTGGTATGTGGATCCGAATCATCTGGTATATGACTCGTGGCTAGGAGCGGATGAAGTTTGCCGACAAACGGACCCAGTCCATGGATCCATCGACCTATTTAGACTTTTCCAAGTACACACGTGCTTCATCCCCATATCGTGTCGTGATGCAGTGGCGGCATAGAAAGCGAAGTACCAACTTTATGGCGCACACGAAGCCGTTCTTGGACTGGCTCGGCCTCCCTGCCATGTCCAAGGCATGCATCGAGTTTCTCAATTTTGTCGTGTATAACAAGTACGGTGCCCTCGACGCTCGCTCTCGCCCGATTCATGCTCGTGTAGAATTGGCAGGCTAGTTGAAGAAGCCATCAAACTGAAGCGCCAGGGCCAGCTCGATACCCTTCCAGGAGCGTTGATGGCGGCCGATGTGAAGTACGTAGTGTGCGATCCAGTTGTAGCCATCGCTTCGGCTTATCTGTATTCCAGAGCTGTGCCTCTCACGGAAGCGGAGCCGTCTCCGCCACTACATGTCAACGCAAAAAAGCGGAACCGGGACGAAACACTGGACGACAAAGCTGCAGCGCAGCCCCCAATGAAGCGACCGGCGCCCCCCCCTGCGCGACTGAAACGACTGCGATGATGAAGAGTAGAGGGCGTTACGTGCGTCCACGAATTTCGACCACAAACACACTGACTTGATTGTCGTTCCCTTGGTCGTTCGTCGCATGCACTTCGTTCGCTTGCAAGTTCCAACGTGCCAAGTACGGCGCGATTGTGTAGTGGACGCTTTTTGCGCACAGTTAGATTGCTGCCTCATGTCAGGAAAGACGCGTACCTCCGAAGCTGGTACGTGATGTAAACTACGCAGTGCGGGTTGCGGTGTAAGGTGAACGCCATCGTGGCTAGGAAGTCTTCGAAGTCTACACCAGGTTAAACACCACTGGTATAGTTGGTTGCCTGACCATTGGGATCGTAAAAGCAGTCGGCAGCCAGGATCACATCGACAGGCCCTCCACCAAAGTCTTGTCCCCATGCCAGTGGCATCTAGTCGACGATTGTCACTCAAGCGCATTCTTTTACACAAATCTGTCACCAGCGTAATGGTGGTCGGAGCAATGCCGTTTAGTTTGATGGCCCCTCGGGCATTTCGCAGCGCAACTTCGTCTTTGTCAGTCAGCATGACGTGCGCGGCACCTAACTTGGCAGCCAGCAGACCTGGCAAAGCCGTGCCTGCTCCAAGCTCGAGGACACGCTTGCCTGCGACCAAGTGCTGGTTGTGGTGTATGAACGTCGCGAGCTTGATGGCCGACGGCCACACATACCACCCAATGCCAAGTCCATCCACGTTGTCGTCTTCCACATGCCCGAGTTCCTTGAGGCAACGGGTTAGTTGAGCCATCTCGTCAGTCCCTACTTCCTGTACAAGGACTCGCACAGTCCCGAACTCAAACACAGTCACGGTCGACTTTACGGCTTCCATTTCGATGGAATGTGCTATCCTGACAATATATTTCAAACGGTTATCTCTCGCTCGAAAACACTAATCCAAGTCGCCTTTTTCTTTGTGTTTTCGAGCGAGATAAATATTCGAAATATATTGTCTGCTATCAATCATGGTGCGTGGACCAAGCGAATTCAGACCGCGGTGTGTCGCGCCAAGAGAGATCTGCGATGCATGCTCACTCGGCGCAGCACGTCGGCGTGGTACGAATACCGAGACCCCCGTCGTTGACTCGACATGCTGGCTGGACTACGAGGTTTCGATCCGTCTTGGTGGGTTCGACGGATGGACATGGAACAGGTCGTGCTCAGCAAAGCATCCGACCACACACAAGACACTGGTTGATCTCGTTGATCAGACCAAGCGACAACGTTTTCTCGAACAGATTTTTCATTTTGATGTATTCGGACCACGCAAGCCACTGCACGCCGTCCCGAGGCTCGAAAACTTGCCAGACGCGTCCGGGTTGCACGTTGGAGCTTTCTCTGGCAAAAGGCAAGCCAACACAACAACGCCAACACTTGCCGAGTCCACACACATTCCAGTTGGACGGATGCAGCTCAGACGACATGACTGGAATGGGAGGCTCTTGGTGACAAGCCCAACCACGACGACAACGTGGCCTCCCGACGGTTGAGGATCTGGGTGATGGAGACCCCATCACCCAGCACCTGCCACGACGAGTGGCAGGAATTCGACTTGGTCGCAACTCTTCACACGGCCTATACACACACGCCACCATTCAACAACTGCACCATCGACGGCAACGCCACTTGATCGTCACACGGCGGCGATAACGGAGCAGCATCGTCCACATGGCCGAGAGCGAGAGCACCACTTGGTCCCAACAAACACCACGACCACACACTAGACCAGACCGCTTGGGAAACACATGCAAACTCACCGCAAACGCCACGACGACACCAAATATATCGTGCAACAACGTCGAGGTCTGGAACAGAACCACCAAAACGAAGACCGCGACTGAGGTTGGGCATACCAAGAGTCGGCCGAGGAGCGCATGATCGTTGGGCCAAACTCTGCAAGAACCACAGGCCACCAAACGACATTGCCACACAAGTGCCATACCAGGGACGCAAACCGCACCGCCGACGAACTACAACAACCGCCCCACCCACAACCAGACGAACCGACTCGACGTACGTGACGATCACTCACAGCTCCAGCCACCTCCACCGACGAGCTGGTTCCACCAGACCACATCACACCACCTCGCGACGCCCATAAGGATCGACAAGCCAGGGACACGCCACGATATGCGCATTGGACTCAATGGGCCGTCCGAGGTATCGCGAGGTCATGGCAGCTTTCAACACGAAGTGTCCCACGTTCATGACAGTAAACGAGCTGAAATCGCGACGACTACACGGGGCAAACACGAGCAAGGACCACGGGGAATTTCTCCACATACTGGACCAGGTCTGGCGGCGCACCAATGCAGCCAACGACTACGAGAGCAACATGCCCCGAACGAAAAGAGGTGTACATACTAGTTGACGCACGCTTGTACAAAGGATCGAGACGAACTAGGGCAACAACATCCCGGCAAACATGGTGTGCAAGGTACATACGAGCTTCATGGCTGGACGAGCGGACGACACGCGAAGTGCAAGAATGCACACAGACTACGAGAGAGGGAAAACGACCACAGTGTTTGTACATACTAGCTTGGCTGAAACGTTTGCTCGCTGGATCGAGGGGGTCTCGCAAAGGCTACAACGACTTCCACCCCACACTGGACACGGATACATCGGACGTACAAAGCAAGCGCCGTCGAGATATCGCGTCATGATACACAGTGCAAACGGATGGTTAGGAGGAGACCCACTGGCATCGCCCACAGACACGCCCAGTCGCACGTAGCAGAATCGCTCAAATGCCCACAGTCGCAGCAATAGCCTCGAGGACCACCAAGGCACGCAGTTGCCACCGCCAGAAGGCGACATACATACACACACGCCCAAGTGAGGGCAAAGGCTAACGTTCGTGATCCGCCCGCGCCATGCCCTGTGCTTCCGATTCTGCGGCACCGACGAAATCGAAAAGTGCCGTTGACAGAGAATCAGCGCCATGGCGTTGGCCAATCGGGATGCGTTGTTGGCCTTGCTTGAATTATTTCAGCCAATCCAATTCCACTGAACTTCCTCTTCCCATGGCTTTGCTGCGATTGGGTGCGCAAGATCTGGTGCCACCACTGACCAATGGAATCGCGTGATGTTAGTAACGGTGGAGTTTTAGCCAATGAATGCACAGTTCTTGTTTCCTCTCCATTAAAACTAAGGCGAAGGTTGTATATGTTCCTGTATGGTGTTCCTTGATATTTGATCACTTTTTCAAACATGCATTTTTCGAGGGACACCTATGCACAAAGAGAGCACTAATCTATGTTTTATATGGATATTGGCTGAAGGCTGAGAAGACTTAGAATTGATTGGCCAAAAGTATGGAGCAAGGCCTCAGGATGATCCGTACAACCTTCGCCTTAGCTTTAAGGGAGAGGAAACTAGAACTGTGCATTCATTGGCTAAAACTCTACCGTTACTAACATCACGCGATTCCATTAGACCTCTAACTCAAAACCTCGCACGCTGATCGAAAAAAACGTAGTTTCCTGATCATCGAGTCCTTTCGGAAATCACTGCCCACTTCGTCAATTCGGCACACTTCACGGGAC